AAGTGGATGAAGAAGTAGGCAATAATGGGAATTAGTGGGAGGAATATGATTGAGAAAGTTGGAGGGAGAGGGAGGGAAAGATGAGAGCTTGAGACTTTGGTGAAATATGAAAGCAATGTGAACGTGAGAAGAGTGCAGAAGGTAGATTTGGAAACTACATAACCCATGCTGAGAGAGAGAGAGAGAGAGGGGTTGTGGGTTTAGACAAAGGAAGTATTGTTATGTTTAAAGTTTGAGAATTGAAAGGAGGGAATTGGGTTTTTATATAGGCTTGAAATGGTGGTAAGAGAGTTGGTATCTCAAATGGTTTTTAAGAGAATCGATGGGCTCTATCTAAATCAAGGTAGGAGAGTAGTGGGTAGGTACGTAACCCTTATACAAAGTCAAGACAATAGGTGGTAGGTAAAAATCTAAAATGCTTGTGACAAAAGCATTTTCATTTAGATAGTCCAACTTCCCTTGTTTTCCTTATAACCGGCCTACTTCCACCACTCATATTAATTAATGGCTTAATCCTTGAGGATGTGTAAAAATTTTCACTAACAATAATTGTTGATGACCTTGCACGTGGCAGGGTCAAATAAAATATCGGACTGAAAATTAGGAGAGATTCTTAAGTGAGGTTGCTGCATATGACAATTCTATACAACAATTATTTTTTCATTTTTAAGAGAATTTTATAGTCAAATTAACTTCTAAAAAATTGGAGAAAGAGAAAGCAAATGTTCGCAACAAGAGACCACATCCAAACCACACCTATAAGGATTGTAGTTGTATGCTTTGTGCATGTCTTGGTCTAATATTACCATACATTTTCTTGTTTGGTTAATTACGTGAAGAAATATAATATTATGAAATAATAAGGATGACGTGTCCAGCTGCTGATGAGGACTTGAGTGTTGGTTGTCAAGTATTATTTTTGGGTAAGAAAGCAAGGCATGAAATATGGCGAATTCTCATTTGTAACTTGGGTAGGGATGCAAAAGCGACAAGGTTTTTGGTTTGACAAACCAATACAGGTTGGTTCTTTTCTTGGTTTCACACCACATTCCAATTTGCAAGGGACTAAGAACGGAAACAGAAAAGATAAAACCATTTTAGAAGAGAGAGAAGAGATAGAGAGAGAAGATTTGTGGTCTGTTTAGCCTTATTATAATATCCAAAATTACATGTTTATATTACAGAAATAATTATGAACTAACTAGCTGTTAAGGTAATCATATTTTCTTGCTTTTGGTATATATATGTGCTCTTCAAGCACGTGGTGATATTTCTCTCTAGTTTGTTTAAAGATATGTTGAAGTTATAATTTTCCTCCTATTTAAAAAAATGTTTAGAATAAAAGCAACACTCAACATACAAACTATAACAAATGGCTTGTAACTTCAGTGGATAAAAACGATCATCTCTACACTCAAAGTATTGTGTTCAATTCACGCTCGGAACTAGGGTCCAAAACTCTTCAACCATGCAACCTAAACTTCCATAACTCGGGATAGAATCTGCTGTTCTTTTGTTATGCAACAGACATGAAGGGTGCAAGTTCTTCACTTGATGAGAGACGAAAACGGAAATGTGCCAAGGTTAAAAGCAGTCTTGCTAACACAGAAGGTAACTCTCATCAGAATGGTTAACGTCATTGTTTCTATTTGTATTATGCAAAGCCTCCTTTGGCTAGTGTCTTGGAGTCGCTCTAAATGGGGAAGTTGGTCTACAGTTTGCTGATTTAATTGGAGCAATTTATTCGAATGTTGCTCACCAAATTGAGCATCATGTTGCCTTTGTTGAGGCTGTAGCGAATACAACTAGAAGCAAAGAGGTGTCAAATGTTTCTTGTTAAAGCATAAACCTGACTTGGTATTAAGCTCTCCTTTTATTGGAGAAAAATTAACTTACGCTGGAATGTCAATGTGGTGGCCTCAGTGGCGGATTTAGAACTCTCGGGTCATAGGGTCATAGTGTAAATGTCAAATTTTTTTAAGGATAAATTGTTGAGGCATAGTCATTTCCTATATAATTATTTAAAACTAATGTAAAACTAATAATAAATTTTGTTAAAAAAAATACATACAAACAAGCACATGGTGCGCTAGAAACCCTATGTCTAATACCCAAAAAATGAAGGGTTTTTTTTTTTAAAGACTTTATCATCATGGCACGCTTCCTGATTCCACAATATGAGACTTTATCTGTCTCTTCTTGATGCTCGAGTCTGTAAGACCTCCACCAGTTCAACAAAGTCTCGATTTTTCTTTTTTAGTGCTTCGATATGTCGGTTTGATTGCTTGAGTTGCCCATGCAATTCAGCAACTTCAGCCTTCAAGGATGTGACTAGATTAATCAATGAAGCACACTCTTGGTTCCTCGCTAGCAGACGCAATCCTACATTTGCTACCGAAGCAGCACAGTGAGCATTAAATTTGGCATAAGTCCAATTATGAGGAGAGATTTTGGGTGCAATCCACACAGAAATTGTTGTTGATCCAAGTCCTTTGACTTTTGCGCCACATAAGATTACATGCCTATTTCAATTTATTGATATTTACTTTCTTTTATTTTTTATTTTTTGTTCCAGTTATGCACCTAAAACATAAATAAGGTAAATTATGAATTCCTAAAACTGGTAAGTTATTGATTTGTAGGATATTAATTATCATATTTGATTTGAATTTAATTGCAAATCTATTTATTGAATTCTGAAATTTTCCCAAGGTATACCGACATCAACATTTGTAATAAGAGTTCATAAAAACTTCATACCTTAACAATAGGTAAGGTACCTATGCATACACCTCGTATGCAGTATGCAGG